GCCCAGCCCCAGCCCCTCGGACTGCGGGTGACGTCTGCCCGCCCACTGGACCTTGACCCTGGCTGCCGCCTGAAGCCGTCTGTCCGTCCATCAGTCCGTCCATCCGTCTTGGGGCTCAGGGCACAGGAGCTGTGCAGGGCCAGACCTCGGGCGTCCTACAGTCACCGGCGCCAGCAGCCGGGAGGGTCCTCTCCAGGCCTCAGGGACATCGGGCAGGATGGGCCGCTCTACGCCAAGCCCTAGGCACAGTGGCGAGGGTGATGGTCACCCTCACTGGACTCAAGTTGGGCCCCTGGTGTATGCAAGGCTTGTGGTGTGAATCCCGGTGACTTCCGAACTCCTCCAGGGCAAGGGGTCATGGGAGGGGAAACTGAGGTTCAAAGTCAAAGCCACTCAGCCAGGGCCCCACAGTGCAGAGGGGGGAGCCCTAGGCCAAGAGGAGGACCTCCAACTGGGCGTGGTGACACTGTCATCCCAGCACGTGGGAAGCTGAGGCAGGAGGATCGCTGCAAGTTCAAGACCAGCCTGGGCTCCATAGCAAGCCTCTGTCTCAAAACAACAACGAACAAAATCCAAAAGATGAAGACCTTGGATTTGGTGTTGGGTGCTGGGCAGCATGGGAGGGAAGGAGTGTGAGGGGCCGGGGGCGCCCTCCAGAGCAGCTTGGGGTGAGCTGGGGTTCCCAGCACACAGGCCAAGGGTAAAGGCAGGCTTTAGGCTCCGTGCAGGGCAGGCACTGGGCAGAGGGGGGCCTGGCAGGGGTTAGCGTTCAGGGACAGCAAGCTGCAAGACCCAGAGGGGCAGCAGAGGCCCTGGGGCACTGGCCAGATGGGGACATTGACTGCCCCTTGGGGGACCTCAGCTTTCTCAGATGAGGCGACACAGATTAAACCAAAAGGGCTGGGCACTTAGTAGGTGTTCAGTAAACGCCCCATCCCCACTGGGTCACCAGGGAGTAAAAAGGGCCTGGCTGGGGAAACAGGCCGGAAGGCCGGGGCTGGCCCGAGCGTGGGCAAGCACCCGTGGGTAGCCCCCGTGTCCCTTGTTGGCTCGCAGATGTGGGGAGGGCAACAGTGGTCATGGCGGACGGGAGCCGGTGGGGTGGTGACGGCTGCTGGCAGGGAAACCAGGGGCCGAGAGCGGGAACGGGGACACTGGGGATGGCCCCGTGCCATCCAGGGTCTGGGGAACCCCTGTGGGAACTGCGAGTCTCCTGTGAGTGTGGGTTTAGGGTCCCCGATTCCCAGAGAAGAGTCGTGTGTCGATCACTCGCTGCCCAGTGCCTGCCTCCGTTTACCCTGCAGTGACTGCAGCTGTGGGTCCCCGGGTTGCCATCTGGGGTGGCAAGGCCTCCCACGCGGAGGGGTTGGGGGCAACATCCGAGGGTCCCAGGACCCCCTCGGGTGCCTTCTCGCCGTGATCGCTTGCAGGCCTCCCAGAAACGGGGTGCTGCGCCCCAGCCACGCTGTGGGGCTCAAGGGGGAGGCTGGCGTCTCTTGGCGGACACTTCGGGCGCCGCCAGACCCCGCGGTCTGTGCATGCTGTGCGCGACCCCGGCCAGGCGGGAGGCAGCTGGGGTGTGAGGGGTTCCCGGATCTCCCAGAAATCCTGGGGTCACGCGAAGTGGGAGCAGGAAGGGGTTCAGGAGGCGCTCCCCGCCCTGGCGCTCAGCTGGGCCGTGCGCGGGGAGCACGCTGGTGATCTCAGCACTTAGGGAGGCTGAGGCAGGAGGATCGCGAGTTCGGGTCCTGCCTGGGAAATTTAGACTATCTCAAAATGAAATAAAAAGAGTGGAGACAGAGTAGCTCGGTGAGAGAGCGCCCCTGGATCCGTCCTCGGTAAGGGGCGGGGGATATTAGGGGGCCCTTTTAAAACACGAGGAGTGGAGCCAGGGCAGCGCTGGGCTCCCTCAGCGGCGCGTCCCTGGTCGCTGGGCTCTCGCCTGTGCACCTGGCTGCCCTTCACCTGCGTCCTCGGCGTCTGTGGCTTCCGCCTTAGCCCGCCTTGGCCCTTGGGAGCGGGGTCTCATCGAGCGCCCCAGCCCGCACGCTGATCCCGGTCCGGAAGCGCTCAGGGGCAGTCGCTCCCGACGCGGCCACTAGAAGGCGCCGTCGCCCAGCGGACTCACAAGGCCACGCCCCGGCGACAACTCCCTGGGGGAAACTGAGGCCCGGAGTCCGGTCGCCTGGGCAGCAAGGGCGGGAGGTGATCGGGGTGCGGTGATCCTTGAGCGACCCCTGAGCTCAGCCTGATCTCCCGGCCCTCGGGAGTGGAAACTGAGGCCCAAAGATTGTGCCCAGTCGGGGCCGGACGTGCTGGGAGTCACGTGTGCCAGCGGCCTCTGGTCGACGATTAAGGGGAGCGCGGGGTGCTGGGCTAAGTGACTTCAGCGTCCCCACTGCCTTCTTCCGGGTGGTCGGAGCCCGGGTCGGCCGGGGTGGGCGGCGGCGCGAACGGAGGCTTTTGTTGTTTTGCTCCACGCCTGTGCGCGAAGCCACGCCCCTTATCATCTTATTGGTTGGATCCGTCCCTTGGGGG